TCTATCTATCTATCTATCTATCTATCTATCTCTCTCTCATTCGGGAGGCAGGCTCCCTCGAAAGAATCCCTGAGTTAGGCAGTTCCTAGCACAAAAACAACCACAACTTTATAAAATAACCATAAGAACCTCAAGGTTTTACATGGAATGTACTACAAGGTTTTCCAAGATTTGAAGGAATTCTAAGTATCACCAACTGACTCCAACCAGCACTCAAGTAGCCAACTTCCCTGAAAAAACGATTCCATACACACTCTATGACATTGTTAAAATTTCAATCTTATTGAACTGAATTTGACATCTGTCAATCCTATTATTAGTTAATATAAGCAGCATACAAATACCACCTATTTTCTTGTTAACAACCATTTTACAATGGCATGAAGGAATTCCAAGACTTCCCAAAACCTAGTCATGAGAACAGCCTAAAATCATAAAAGCAGCATCATATACATCATGCATCTTGCACTGCACATTAAAAACTGAGCTTAGATTTGAAGCCTGTACCACATATCCAAAGCATTCCAAACTAAAACCCTGCCTATAGCTTAAAGCCTTGAACACCACAATTGGAGTCAGGCAGTTACAGACTGCAGCATCCCTCAAACTAACACATATGACATGCATATTCATTGCATGTAAATACCCTGCAATATATTTATCCTCAACAATCCAAACATATTTAACCAGAGCCAGATTCCCAGCCCCATGTCCAACCCAAAAATTCTTTGCTCAATACCAACTACCTTATGCACCAAGCAATTTTGAAAACTATAACAAAGAACAAAAAAATTCATTCTTAGTTTGATTAATACCTCCATAATAAGCAATAGCTGACCCATATACTTGGTATACAAAGAATACCAAAAAGGTTGATGTGCAATAAGTACAATCTAATACACCGGCATAAATTCATCATTATAAAAAACTATAGCAAAACGGTATGTCTTCAAGAAGAATTTTTATCATACTCTATCATGTAACATATTGTTGAAAAGAAACATAAAGCATGAAATAAAAAAGGCAAGATGAGAAAAAAATATCAGAAGGAAAAGGCATTTTCCTTGTTAACAGTTTAAGTGTTACAGGTTCTGGGTAACACCAATCCACTTCTTATTCTCTTAAGTAACAAGGACCTTGCTGATGCATTGAGCATTGCCTGGGAGAGAGGTCGAGGCAATGGGAGCAGATCTTCCTGAGTATTGAGTAGTGGTTTATCAGTGTTTTCTGACTGGAGTAATTGGTTACCTGTGTAGTGTGTACCCGTGTACCTTTGTCAACCAGCTTCTTATAAGGTTTTCTTTATTTGGTCCAACAGCCCTTGCACATTTCAGCCTGAACACTGTATTCTACTTACCTTCCACACCTTAACAAGTTTTCTTTATAAAAAGGAAAGAAAAAAAAATGTGGCTGGGTCAAGACCATGGAAGAATTTTTCATGGACACCCCCACCAAGAATAGGATAAAAATGAACTCTAATCAGCTCTAGTTTTGAAAATTTAGGTGAATCAAGTATTGGTAGCATATTCAGAGGCCACAGGAGACACCTCAATTTCATTTTCAGGTAATCATTAGTTAGCAAAAAGGATAAATAGAAAAACCATTGCATTTAAAGACAAAGTCAGGGAAGAAATACAGAGATCTAGTACCATAGAAGCAGGTTTTTCTTGGATCTCCCAGTCTGCAAACTCCCTTGTAGATTCATTAGCTTGTGGGGGAGTAAAAAGACAAACTAGTTTCCGCAGGGGAGTAGCCTTTTAGGTTAAAAGAAGTGTTTTTCTGGTATAAATACATTTTATCTCTAACTGTATGTGTGGGTAACAGGTAAGCCTGAAGAATCAATCGTTTTTCACTAAAGAGAGCACAGAGCAGTAATAGGCTGGCTCCAATGTAAAGAATTGAGATAAAAGGCAGCCTCATTTTTCAGTTCACTTTGCCTAGGAATAGGGAAAAGGTTGTATGAAAATGCATAAGGGCAGCAGTATTATGGCAGATCCAGGAAGAGAGGACTAAACAGAATATTCAAAAAGCATAAAAGATCAATCGAAGGCATTGTCGAGAGCGTCCAAAGTTAGAGCTACACATTGGATAAAAAAAGTGGAGTAATTGTCCCTTTTCTCCACTGCCAACCTTCTTAGAGGCTAGCAGTACATTGCCCATTCATCATCTACGCGAACTGAGACTGTAATGCAATGGAGCCCTCTTCCAAACCATATAAAACTGAACTTTGACGATGCAGCTAAGGCAACCCAGTTGCTTCAGGAGCAGGTGGCATGCTAAGAAACTCCCAAGGGGTCATTGTAGGGATATACTTTGGCCTGCTAGGTGTAGGACATTCAACAAGAGCAGACATCCCAGCTATTCCGTGGGGAAACAGTTTGAGTAAGTCTCCAAAATCCAAATCAGAAATTCAATAGTGGAGGGGGATTAAACCGGTTGTGAGATGGTTAAAAAAGATCAACAAATGCACATAGCATTGTTGAAATATGATTAGGGAAATAAGGCAGATAGAAAAAGATATAGTGATCACTTACACATGGACTACAAGATCAGCTAATGGACTAGATGATTATTGACTAAACAAGGGGCAACGAGGGAGCAATTTTTTGGGGACAGTTGTAAGCAAGATATTATTATTTGGGATAGGTAGCAATGATCATTCTTTGTACCACAATCAATAAACTTTACTGTTATCAATCAGAAAAAAAAAGGATACAAAGTATAAACACATACTATAATGTACCCTTATATTCCCTCAAATTAACAATAAAACAATTATCAGTTAACAATCAAAAAAAGCAAAGTGGCAAGCATCTTAGCTTAACATAAACAAGATCCAAACTTCTAAGTGAAACCTGTTGCCTCGAAATAAGCCATCTTGGACCATATTGACATATGTCACCCAAATACAGAAAGAACACGGCTGGATATGGTATCAGATACAAAACTTACACTAAAAATTGAATTATCTAACATGATACCATATGCCACCCTTGTATAGGTGACGTATACAAAGCAGCCAACCATAATCTAAAAAGTCAGAAGAATTCCCAATATTATTTATTTTTTTATATTGTAATGCTTCTTGAAAAGTTTGATTCCCCTTTATGTCAGATTATTTGGGTTAAGATTATATAACATCCAAAAATCTATATGAGGATATCTTCTGTTCTGCATTGCATTTTTCACTTGCATTCACTGACCTGTTATTTGGAAATTGAAATCTTCCATTCCATTGGATCCAAACTGAGAGCAGAAACAGCTCATTTTTATTGCATCAGGCATCTTTGATTTTCATCATAAAATGACATCCTTTCATATAGTTTCCGGCTGCAATTATTTGGCCGTTGAACGTGGAAGCGAAAGAAGTAGCCCTATGATGCAAACAAAGATGTAGCTGACACAACAGATAGGAAGATCTCCACGGGAATTTGTCATTCTAGGGCCAGAAAAAAGTCTGCATGGCCCATGAAATGAAAATTTTGAGAGGTCTTTTTTAAAGACGAATCATCAATTCCTAGTCTCTGTATTCGTATAAAACCATAGAACCCAATCTTTTTAATTTAGCCAAAACACTGCAATTGTTATACCTTTCATACTGGTTTAATTGTATGGTGTTATATATCCCCTTCCTATTAGTCTAATTTTTCCCAAAAGACCATTGTAAATGGCTATGACGTTAGGAAAACATCGGGAAGTGCAACCACATGGTTACTAGACATAATGGTCAAACTTATAAGTAGTTTTAATTTGTTCCATGAATATGAAAGAACCTAAGTTTTCTAACCTTCAAGAATCCCATGATCACTGAGACTTCAACAAGGATCATGAAACCATCACTCTTGAAATCAAGGGGAGAAATTGTACACTTAGAAGGGAGGTAAAATAAAGTGGCCGCTCTCGGACTCAAACGCGGATTCTCACACTTGTTAGAATGAAGTTAAAATAATGCCATATTATATAAACCAGTAGCAGCCTAGCAATTCTTAATGCCCCTCAATTAGGAAATGCAAATGAAGAACGATCAGGCGACTCTGATATGATATTCTGCAAACTCAGCAACCAACAGTTTGCGACTCTATTTGCAAACGCAAAACTATCTGCCACTATACATATTATCATGAATTCGTAACTCGACCAATAAACTGCAACCAAACACTATCTGAAACTCGGCAAATATGATGGTGCCCTTGGGCGCAGTAACAATGTTTTTAAATGGAGAAAACTCATTAACTAACATGCCTATATGTTGTCTTACCGCATGTTAATCCCCATATCAATAACCTCGCACATCTCTGGAGTTGTGCAAACCAACAATGAAGAAATCATATCATACCAAATATAAAAATGGTAAGAAGACAAATTTATCGATTGTTTCTAAGGTTTCGAAGTACAGAACGAGCCCTAGCCCTGTATTAAAAGTTCAACAGATGCAGGACGAGGAGAACAAGCTTCGGATACGAGACCTGAGTTTTCATGAAATCGATCAGAACGAGAATAAGGTGGATCTCGACGGACTTCTTCAGGCTCATAATCGCTATCTCCGTCGCTTTCAGTAGGTCGTACAACGAGGCTACTCAAGTAAGGCCGATGTGTCGTCGTTGCCGTCGACTGGTCCTTCTCTCGCGAATTCATCCTTCCCTCTCTCCGTTGTTCAGCTTTGTCTTGTGGTGAAAATGAAATAGGAGATGAAGCAAATCCCAAGTGGTTCGGCTCTAGCTTGGCTCGAATCGCTTCTCTGTTTGTCAGCTCGATGACAGGCTGACATTTGCATTTCACGAGTTCTGATCTGCTGTTACCAAATACTGTGAGCCAACGCTGTAGTATCTATCGGCATTGCTCACTTGACGCTGACGGCCAGAGATTTGCATTTTACGAGTTCTGATCTGACTGCCGTGAGACAATGCTGTATTATCAATCGGCATTGCTCAGCTGTACCCTAATATGGCTTCAGCCCCAAATTCCGTAAGTAGGCAGATACAGCGTTTGTTTACAACAGATCGCCATCTAGTCATTATTGACACGTGTTAAAACATAATTGCCAGGTGGTCAATCTCACGAAATATGGACCGTTTGGTACGCGCTTAACTTCTGTTGCTTCCGGTGAAACCCCAATAAATAATATTTAAACAAAAAATAAAAAACAAGGGTTATGAGTGATTGGGGTTCAAATATTTACAAATTTGATTTTATTTACAAAATTGATTTAAGCACTAATTTCATAAGGGCAATCAAGGTTAGTTCTTTGAGTTTATCTGGGTAAGCCCTCAAACCCTGGAGTTGACCTAAATATGATCGGTTCAATGAATTTGGTACTGGATCTACCTAATAACAGATGGATTGGTTCAAAGCCCATTCTATTCAATTCCAGATCTACCTAATAACAGATGGAAGAGGATTGGTTCAAGGCCCATTCTATTCAATTCCAGATAAAACCAACGCTTTTGCTCACCCCTAGAGATCATGAAGGAACATGATCTCTAGGGGTGGAGACAAGTCAAGTGCACCTGATGTACATTGACCTTATCAGGGAGAATATAAGATTCCTTAAGGCTGTGTTTGGAAATTATGTAAATAAGTGTGATTATAAATATGTAGAGTGTCAAACGGTTCATATAAATTATAAAGTTGGGTTAGTTTTACACTGACAAATTTATCTTCCTACCAAACAGATTTTTAGCTGTAATGGATGCAAAAATGAATTTTAATAAATCATATATTATTTTTTTATCAAAAGCCCATTTATATGCAAATTTACTTATTTTTTATTGATGTACTTTTACATCTTATTATCAATGTAAATATACATTGATCTGTCATTTGTCAATGCATAAATATAATATTGCCAAATACAAGCAAAAGTAAATCAGAATGTAAATTTACCCTGAACTGGGATTTATACTCCATTTACATCGTTTCCAAAATGGGCTTAATCTCCATTCTTTTATTTTTTAGAGAGATGTTGAATGACAATCTCAACTACTAGATGATTCTAAATATAAATTATTTATTATATTAAATTATAGATAACATATATATTAAAGTATCATCATACCTTATATAATATAAATATATAACATATTAAAATATTTATATAATATTTATCTATTACTATATAAAGTGAATACTTTATTTAGTTTTATGTAGGTCAAAAATTCCCTAAAACAACACATAAAAAACAAAAGAAAAGATAAAAAAAACAATAAAGGCAAACAAAACAGAATCAATTAACTAGGAGAGGAACAGAAATCAGGAGAAACCCATTTGCTGGCCAGCGGGGGGCGGGGCAAGCTTCAATCCAGCACCCAGCTTGGTGCAGGCCTCTTTGTGCGGCAGCATGGGCCACCTGGTTGGCACCTCTTTGAACAGGAGAATCGGACATTTAAGTCCCTTGCTACAAAAGATAGTCTTGAGCGATATCACATCTGCACCTTGCCCTACATGTATTAAAAATCAAGTTTAAAATATCTTTATGTATCGATCCGTATTGGCCGATATATATTGTAACGTAGCCTTTTTGATATATTCCTACAAGGGTATTTTGGGTCAGACCATAAAGTAATTAGACCTTAAACCGACTCTTTTAAACCAGATTCAAAAAAAAAAAAAAAAAAACACTGATACAGACCGATATACCAACATGAGGCATTTGTGAGATGCCCTCGATAAGGGGCATATGTAAATTCTATTGGAACAATATCAACATAAACATCCAACACCTTATTTGGCAGGCTGCTAACAATGTTTTGACAGTCACTCTCAATAGTTACATCCTTTAAACACTGGGCCAAACTTTGCAACTAACAAAAGTCCAGACAAGTCACGAACCACCACACCCACTGCTGCAGAATTACTATTAACAAAAAGCCCATCAACATTAACTTAGATCCAGTTTGCTTGTGGGGGACTAAAAAGGGGAGCTCCCTATATTCTATTATAATGGAGCTGTATTAGTTCTATGCAAGTCAAACACATATATTATCCACCAGGTTAAAAATGATCACCTTTAAATTATTATAAAAAGGCATTTTCTATATTGAGAGACAAAGTCATGATACCAAACATCCCTAATCCAAACCGGTGGTGGCTTAGTAGGCACATAACTGAATAAGTTCCAGACGCAATATGTTTTCGAGCTCTAATACTAACGGCTCTAAATTCAACTTTGAGAAGAGTGTAATGTTATTAGATAAAGTTTGCGGTACTGAAAATTAAATTATATCCCCTATCGGGGCGAAAGGCGAATAATAAATACCAAAAAAAGACATCCCTAATCTAGGATGCTTGTCAAACAATGATTAATTGGTTTACAAAGTAGTTGATTGAAATTGAAACTCATAGGACACATGCTTAAAAACATCAAGGTTGTTATCAAAAACTTCCCTTCATCTTCTCACGTCTCTTAAATTTACTTTGAGTTTTCAAAACCTCTAAAGAACCTTTTGTAAAAAATTCACCATCATTCCAATCTCTCTCTCTCTTATTATTCTTATTATTTTTCTTCTTCTCCCCTTCTCTTTCCCCTTTTCTCCCCCTTCTTCCTCTTTATCATAGCAGGACACAAAGGAGTTGTTTGAAATTCACAACAAAGTATGTGTTTGGTTCAATGGGTGTTTATGGATGGACCATTTATTTATATTTTTTCACTTTAAACGTTTATTTGTAGTTTTGTATTTTTTCACTTTAAAATTTTCCTATTTTTGTTGTTTGGTTGGATATCACTTTAAATGTTTATTTACTTTCCACATCAGATTGATACCCATTAATGTGTGTCACATCAGCATTTGGTTTCATGAAACATTGGGGCATTGGGGGAAACAAGAAATTGACGTTTTCTCAAATGTCCCATGCACAAAAATCAAAGTGTTTCAGTTTCCTACCATTTGTTTGATAAACGGTAAAACCAAACAGTTGTTTCATATGCAATAAACGCCAATGCCTATGTGGCGCTACTGTGGTGACGTTTTTTCAATAAACGCCCACGGAACCAAACATAACTAAAGAATAATAGGGCACCCTCAATTAAGCAATGATGGCAACATATTTTGCTAAAACACTATTGGATATTGGCATTGATTCAATATACAATGGTAACATGGCACTCTTTTGTCTTTTTAGAAGCCAATTCACCTCAATCAATCGCCATAAAGAGACACATTGCATTTTTTATATAAAAAGCAGTTTCTTCTTCTTCGATATCTTTTAAAGGGCTACACAATAGGGGTAGCCCATCCCCCAACCTAGGTGTAGGTGGGATTCGATCCCAAGTCTCTACTATGACCAGCAAGAGACTTTACCAACCACCAAGAGTAGATTCATTCATAGAAAGTTGGCCGCTCACAATTAGTTTGGTCATTTAAAATGCATACTTGCTTATGTAGATAAATTATTGTAACAATTACTAACAATAATTTAATGGGAGGTGATTTTAGATATAAAAACTCTTCGAAACGGGTCTTTAGAGGTTTTGAAAAGTTAAGATGAATTAAGAAAAAATACAATAAAGTGAAAAAAAATAGTATCCAAAACTTATTTATAAAACTTTTAAATTAAATAATAAAAGATTGGATAAATATTATAATTTTGTACATATTGCATACTTTTTGTATGTTATGTAAGGATGTGACCCATGACAATCTGTTGAAAGCATTATTTGGTTTTGGAAACTAAATTGGATTTGGTTTATTACCAAAAGAAACAAGGTAACTTTTTTTCTCTTATTTTCACACCCAAAAATCCCCCCCCCAAAAAAAAAATGTTTAGAATAAGCCCATTGAAAAAGGAACAACCCCCCAACAAACAGCCTTTTATCCTTTTAATTGTCGTCGTTATCATCTATGCCTTGTCCCAACTATATGAAGTTGCAAGTGAATCTTTTTAGGCCATTCCATTCAGTGTGCTTTCATTTAGGTAGTGTTTGGTTTGAAAGAAAATGTAAGGAAAGGAAAGAAAAGGTAGGGAAACCCATATAAGCCTTGTATAGGTTTCCCTACCTTTCTAATCCTTTCCTTATATTTTCTTTTAAGCCAAACACAGCCTTAGCTCATCTATTCAAATTTACTCATTCATGTTAATTACCAAAGATACTTCATGTATTGGACACGCCATATAGTGATAATTTATATTGTTCACGGGCTCTTAACAAATTATAACAAGCCACATTCTCACCTAGCAATCAGAATCACTAGAAACCCACCCATTGCAAAAAAAAACAAAAACAAAAACAAAAACAAAAAAATAAAACAAAACAAAATAAAGAATATTATTTGATATTTTAATGCTTTTATTTCTATCGAAACAATGGTTATCTTAATAATCAATATTAGATGTGTCAATTGGACTAGATTTGGTCTAACCTTATCCAGTCCAATGTGAGTCCACTTAGAAATGGATTAGACCGAATCCATTTCAAATCCAATACAAACCAAAATTAATCAAATCCATTAAAATGTAAATCCAAACCGAATGAAATATCAAAAATTATATAAAAATAAAACATATAAAAAATTACAAAAATATGTTAAAATGAAGAAAATCTGAAAATTACAGGAATATACCTTTTTGGCATTGAAAAAGCACTTTTGTAAAAGTGCTTTCATAAAAGTATTTTCATAGAAATGCTTTTGTAAAAGTACTTTTGTAGAAGTGCTTTTATAAAAGTACTTTCATAGAAGTGCTTTTATAAAAGTGTTTTTGTAAAAATGCTTTCATAAAAGTACTTTTGTAGAAGTGCTTTTATAAAGGTACTTTCGTAAAAGTGCTTTCATAAAAGTGCTTTTATAAAAGTACCTCCATAAAAGTGTTTTCGTAAAAGTACTTCCATAAAAATGCTTTTGTAAGTGATTTCATACAAGTGCTTTCATGTAAAAGTACTTTTATAAAAG